CCTTTTTAAAAAAATTTGAAACAGAATTTCCCTAAATTGCTGAGGCTTCCTTTGAACCTGTGACCCTCCTGCCTTAGCTTCCATAGTTGCTGGGATTATAGGCGTGTGTCACTCTGCCCTACTAAATTCATTCCTTTATTAAATCAAGCCAACTCTGAATATTAAGAGTATTTGTTTAAATATACTTAGAATGTGAACTCTTAGGAAAGTTTAGCTTCCTCACAAAGCAGAGCCTGAAACAGTGCTCATTCAGTGCATGTATTTAAAAGAGAACCTGATACACATGGGCACAGGAACAACAAGGGACAGAATGAGCCAGTGTAAAGAAAAATCACAGCTGGGGCAAGGGATGTAGTTCAGGGCAAGAGCGGTTGCCTAAGCCCTGTGGGTTCCAACCCCAGCACTACTTACAAGTTGGATAGCTTGCTTGAGACTGCTTGAGAAGTTTGGTAAAATATAACAACATTGTTGGGGAAGGAGTAATGGGGAAACACTTATCTATTAGTTGGCTAGCAGGTTTGCCCATGGTCAACAGAAGCCAGAGATGAGAACAAGATGTCCAGCTGGATGGGATAAAAGGTGATATCAAGGGAAGTAATTTGTCCTCAAGAGGTGCAAGATGGGGTTTCTCTGAAGTTTTCTATAATTAGAAGGCCTATCCTTCACCTAGAATAATTAGGCTTTTCTATATAACATTGAAGTACTTTTGGGTCCAGAACTAGGGAAAAGTATGAGAATGGAAACAAAAGAGGAAGTCACTATGCCCAACTTTCCTATACAAACCTATGCGTCCTTATCACATCTTGTGAATCCTGGGTGCCTCAAAATTGTTAAGTACTTTGGATCAGTGTTTCAAGAGGAGCTATAGACCTCATCATGTTGAAGCTTTTTAGATGGATCCTTTAATGAGTTTACTAGAGAAACAGGCTTCAGTCAACCCTTTAAAAATACATACTGACATACTGGTCTTCTAATTACATTTTTGTTTTTCATTTGTATTTGGGAAAAAACAATGAGAGTAAAGGCCAAAGATGAAGAGTGTGAGACAGTTTTTTTTTTTTCCTTTTAATATTAACTGGCAGATAATTGAGAAACTTACCTTTGGACTGACCACCTTTTAAAGATGAGTAGAAAATGAGCTTTTTTTTTAAACCCACTAGGGATTTACCGGATGTGTTACTTGTTACATGTTTTCTGCCATTTGCTTTGTAAATTGGGTGTTAGTAAAAGCATTTAATTAATGTTGTAGTTAATCCCAAGGGCACCTTGCCACTAAGCTACATTCCCTAGCCTTTGGATTTTTTTTTCTTTGGGGGGAGGGGACGGGGGAGATGGTCTTGGCAAAGTTGCCCAGGCTGGCCTTGAATCTGTGATCCTTCTGCCTCAACCTCCACAGCAGCTGAAATTACAGGCATGCACTATTGGCTTGGCTCTTCTAGGATTGTAAAAAAGGTGTTTTTATAAATGGGGAAAGAAAGAAGAAACAGTCATTAAATGTGATACTAAGCCTGTGCGCCATGAGGAAGGAATGGACCTGGACAGCCAGTCTGTTTCCTTAGCCAAGAATTGTGTAGATACGGGAGATGTAGACTTAGGTACATGCAAGGTTGGGAGCTGATACTAACACAGTTGTGACCTCTGTGGAAAGGTCAGTAACAGTAAACTTTTTCTATAAACAAGACCATTGGTCTAAGTTCCAGATCTTATAAACAAAAATACCCACCTAGCCTGATGGCAATAGCACATGCTTATAATTCCATCCACTCAAGAGTCTGAGGCAAGTGGATTCTGTTTGAGGCCAGCTTAGGCAAGTTAATGAGACCCTATCTCAAAAAACAAAAAGCTGGTAGAGCACTTGCCTACTAGCATGCACAAACAAGGCCTAGGTTCAATCTCAAGTACTGGAAACAAACAATAAAACCCCCAACTCGCTGGGAAGGTTGCACTTTAGTTTCCAGGCCCAAGAATTTGCAAATTAAGAAAAGTGAAAAGAAGTTCCTACTTAGGTTACTTGGCAGAAAGCAAATGGAAAGCCTTTCGAGGGGCAGACCTTGCCCAAGAAGCCAAGGTAAGTTGGTGGCCAGCAATAGAAAAACAGCTTGACAAATAAGGACTTATTTTCTTCATAAGAAATATGGAGGAAAGTGACTTGCAGGCAGTTGTAAAGTGTAAGGATGAGCATTCTTCACACATACCTTACATTTTTTTTAAGTTGTAGATGGACACAATACCTTTATTTTTTATTTCTACATGTTTTGGTGATGAAGATAAAACCTAGTGCCTCACACATGCTAATCAAGCGTGCTACAACCCCAGCTCCTCCTTACATCTCAACCTTGTGGCCACAAGTTCTTGCTGTGTCACACCCACAAGAATCAGTTAACTAGATACACATATTCTAGGAAAGCATGGCTTTCAACTTAATTGGTCAGATCTGGGTCATGTGACCTACTTAACTGCAAGAGAACAAAGAAACTATGAAAAAGGATCTGTAGGATTCTTAGGTTATTCTGACTGATCACCTGGGTTTACAGACACTGTGTATCCTAACCTGGCATGGAGGTAGATGGTGGTGAGCACAGGGAATTACTGTTTGCCACACTAGATGTCAAAATTTTTGTCTCACTGTACATTGGTTAACCACAAGGAAACAACTCATTAGTATAATAGTAGACAAAAATAGCAAGTTGCTGCCATCAGTGGATGGAATGTTTCAAAATATTAAGACAAACGAATAAAAATAAGTGCTCCTGAGAAACCTGTTATTTTGATAATTCTAGCTGCTTATCTAACTGGCTATGCATTTCAACCTCAAACAGGCAGAGAAAGCCCATTACTATGTACCTATATACCTTCTACTCAATCTTTTTTTTTTTTTTTGGTACAGGGGATTGAACTCAGGGACTTGACCACTGAGCAACATCCCCAGCCCTATTTTGTATTTTATTTAGATAGGGTCGGTCTCAGTTGCTTAGTGCCTGACCCCTGCTGAGGCTGGCTTTGAACTTGTGATCCTCCAGCTTCAGCCTCCTGAACTGCAGGTGTGCCTGGCCTACACATCTCTTAGAATGCTCCTTTCTGTCTCTCACTTGTCATATGCATATCCTGTTTTACATGAATAAGTTCTAACAACCTCTCTGCCTCTCATATGGGACAGGTGGTATTATACTCCCAGGAGCTATTTCCTTCATGCAGTCCTTCCTGATTCTCAGAGTGATTTTGAACCATTTCATACTTAGAATATGACAGGCACTAAGGGGTTGACATACACTTGTGTTGAGAAACACAATGAAATCACAGAATTGAAGTTTTTTTTTTTTTTTTCCTTCTTGTTATGGGGATTGAATTCAGGGGCACTTTACCAATTAACTACACCCTGAGTCCTTTTTGAGATAAGGTTTTACCAAGTTGTCCAGGCTGGCCTTGAACTTGGTGATTCTCCCACTTCAGTCTTCACAGTAGCTGGGATTACAGGTGTGTGCCACTGTGCCAGGCACAATTGAGCAGTTTTCTCTCTGGCATATATGCTCATTCCTTCAATATGCCAGTCCCACATACTGTACTATATACTGAGTGATAAATGAGACAAGACTGGACTTCAACATGTTTATGTTCTAAAATCAGGTTAAACTGAAGAAAATAACTGTAGCAGGACATATTAACAGTTTCTTTTTCTTTGGTGGTACTAGGGATTGAATTCAGGGTACATCTCAGCCCTTTTTGAGACATACTCTTGCCAAGTTGCCAAGGCTGGCTTTGAACTTGGAATGGTCCTATCTCAGCCTTCCGAGTTGGCTGGGATTACAGGTGTGCACCACTACACCTGATAATATTTGCATTGATGGTGACAAACTCTGGTGTCAGCAAAGTTAGGGCTTTCTACAGCATATAACATTTAAATCTATGTCTTCAAATTTCATTTGCATAAAATACTACCTTATAATTAATACACATTTTAATCAGTAATACATCCATCCCAAGTATTTTTAGAAATAAAAGAAGCTTGTCTTATTTTACTCAATATATTTGAAATAATCATACATTTAACCCATCCTAAAAACCAGAACTACTAACTTTAGTGTAATCCCATTTATGTACAAGACAAACCCTTTACATATTCTCACTTAGCAAAGTGCATAGAAAAAAGCATGAAAGAATAAACTCAAACATTGGTAACCCCTGGGAGCATAATGTAGGGAGATCATTTTTATTCCATAAGTATACTTCTGAATAGTTTAAATTTCCACAGTAAACACGTATTTATGCATTACATAAAATTTATTTTCAGAAGGCCTAATAGGGTCCAATTAAACCAAACTTATTCATTATATGTTAATCAAAGCTTCTATTATTTAATGAGCTATAAAAAGTCTTGTCAAATAATCTCCAATTTTTCTGTTTGCTTGCCCCAATAATTTATTTATAGTAATCCTTCTTCCTTACATATAAGTTAATTCCAGTTCAGTGCATTAGTAAGGTTTTGATGATGTTTATTATGTCCCAACTTAGAAATGAATATGTTTGGTACCAAGGGATGCTTTGTATTGCTATCTCTTGCATTGATGCTCCCATTGGGGAAGTGGTTGACTTCCCTAATCCTTGACTGCTCAGCAGAAAAATCTGTAGTTTTAAAAATACATAGATTCTCAGGCACCAACTCTTAAAATTCTGAGACTGTAGTTATAAGGGAAGCAAATATTCTTTAGAAATATTTTGCCCTAAATTTTGATCAGTGATTATATAAATGCATGTTTAAAAAATAACAGAGTAATTATAGAATCTTACAGAATGCAAAAACTGAAAAACCCAGTTTTTTTTTTTCCTTTGAGGGGACAGTGAAGTGATTTTTGGATAACGATGTTCAAAAGCACCAAAAAAACATTAAAACAATGCGTAGGTTGGTAACAAATACCCATTTTATGACAGTGATGTTCTGCAGCAATCTTCCTTAGGAATCACACCCTGAACATACAGTGCAAAGACTGAAAACAAATAACAAATATAGTCCTGAAGTTTATTTATCAAATATCATCAGTGTAGTCTTTGACTGGCTTTTAAAATAGGGCAGTTTCATTATACTGGCATACTTGGCAAACCAGATAAGTACAGAAATCTTGTCAAGATTTTTAAAATGGGGCAACACTGGTCAGTATTTGGTACACGAATATAATACACCTACTGAAAATCTTCCATTTATCATGAAAACTTGGAGGTAATTTGTATAGTTTGAAATGTCTTCATTTTAGAATATTAAGCACAAAAAGGGCCTTATCATTTCAGAACAGCAAAGTTCCATTTTTTGTGCTCAGACTACAATTTACAATATACCTGGCTTTGGATGTTACATTAAAAAAAATCATTCTTCAAGCTCCAGAGTATGTGGGGCCATAAAACCTGATTAGTCATATATGACAAAAATCCCAGTAAATGTTTCTTTTAATAAATGGCTTATTAATATTCTCAGATTCAGTCTAATCATCCAAGAAAAAGTAGTTTCCACTCTTCTTTTGCTCTACATCCTAAAAAGAAAAGCAAAAGTCAACATCACCACTCCTTCACATTTAGGATTTCATATAAGGTATTAGTAAAACAAGTACCTGAACAAACTTCCATCTGCTTTTGGATATTTCTGGGTTCACTACTCAAAAGCAAGATTACTACCTTCTGTCCCCATTCCTATTATCAAAATACCTCACTTCCATCAACTCAAAGTTCCTTCATGTAAGAAATAGTACATATATGGAATTCCATTCCATTTTTATCTTTTCAACTTTAAGCTCCTGGCCCAAAGATAGCATACTGAATGACACTATATATACATATGAATGAAATAACTTTCCCCAGAATGTTTGGTAGAACAGTCAGTAACATTTACCTACTCACCCATCTGCTCCCTTATTAAGTTACAACTAAGATGAATGTGAATACAGAAATGATTAATAGGTACATCCGGGTCTGAACCATAAGCATACCCCCCAAAATGACAATACCAAGTATAAATAATGATTCAGAAGAAATTCCTGTCCTCTTTTCTGCCTAATATGCCTTTCAAAACTGAGAAAACTTTTCAATTTTATGACTTTGCCTACAGCCTTCCAAGAGTTCACGGTTTAGTAGCAAAGCCAGGACTACAAATATGAAAACAAATGCTACAGCACAGGATGTGATGAAAGAGAAACATGGAAGTGAGCACTGCAGGGGACATGAAAACAGTTGAAATGCTTTCACAGTTCGTTCACTTTTTAATTTGTGTGACCAAGAAACTTGCCTTTGAAAAAATAAATACTGCATTTCACAGACTAAATCAAGCATAGGGTGGACAACTAATTTATGTTCTACAAAGAAAAAACATTACCAACTGATCTGACAAAGTGGTTTTCCATTGTTTAGAATTTTATACTCTAAGAGCTTGTTCAGACTTAAAATATACATTTTAGTCATGAATTGAACAACATAAAAATATATAGAGAAGCTGCTTGAAATATTCTTGAAAATTTCTTTGTTTCAATGGTCCAGTAGTATAATCTTCCTTAAAACATTTTAATTAGCAGTTAACACAGTACAACTCAAACAGCAGGAAGAGCTGCGTCCATGCAGCAACAGTAGCTACATCACAGCTGCTGTTTACAGGACTACATGCCATCAGGTATTAAAATGGAAAAACACATGAATCATAGAATGTATGAAATCTATGAAATATAGACTTATAAAAGCAACAGCCTCTCCACTGTTCATACTGAGAAAGTTATGACTTAAGACAGTTTTTCCACATACCTTAATTGAATTGAGTTTATTTATTCGTGGTCTATAGTTGTTTGGATCTCTTCTGAATGTAATTTCCAGCTGAGACAAAAATTTGTTCATGCCAGCCAAAAGTGTTTGAGGACTGTGGGGGTAGGGGATAAATATTTTTGATTAAATTTTCAACCCATAAAGATTAATTATAAGGAATAAAAAGAATAACTGTTCCCTTGTTCCCTGTTACACATCATCTGGATAACAGTACAATTAAAACATATTATAAATCTTATATAATCACAAACAGCTTTGCTTGGACTATACTGTTTGCTTGGCAATGATACTTTGTGCAAGACAAACACAATTGCACCTGTATTTCTGATGTGGAAAACGAAACATTTTAGAATTATTTATTTATTTAGTTTATTTTTTGCTAGGGAAGATATCTAGGGCCTTGTGCATAAAGTATGCGCTCTACCCCTGAGCTGCAATGGAAGTATTATTATTATTAAAATTTTGAGATAGGATCAAGTTGCCCAGGCTGGCCTTGAACTTGGAATCCTCCTGTCTCAGCTTCTCAAGTCACTGGAATTACAGGCAAGTGCCACCATGCCCAGCCCAGAAGTATGACTTTAGAAAAACAAAAGATCACTAATAAATTAGGAGACTTACAGAATCTCAAATTGACATTTTTAAGGGAGAAGAGAAAAAAAGTTAATTTCTGTTAGAAATTTGACATTGAAGGAAATATGTACTTCCACACTGTGATTTTCAGTAATATTCCTTTTATGCTTTATACATATTTTTTACCTGAGCTAGTTATTATTATTATTTTTTAATTTTTTGGTACTAGGGGTTGAACTCAGGGGCACTCAACCACTGAGCCACATCTCCAGCCCTATTTTGTATTTTATTTAGAGTCAGGGTCTCACTGAGTTGCTTAGCACCTCACTTTTGCTGAGGCTGGCTTTGAACTCATGGTCCTCTTGCCTCGGCCTCCAAAATGCTGAGATTATAGGCATTCGCCAATGCGCCTGGCCTACCTAAGCTAGTTCTTAAATCAATCAAATCACAAAATCGATGGAACACTTTAAACATTTTGTAAACACAAAGGGAAGACCATTATGTGAATAAATGTTTTACATATTCTGAGAAATTTCCCTAACTCTTCAAAAAAGGCATAATTCTGAATAACTGAAGTAAAAAATTTAAAATGAAAAGAGTTCTCTGGCTGGGGATATAGCTCAGTTGATAGAATGCTTGCCTAGCATGCACAAGGCCCTGGGTTCAATCCCCAGCACCACACACACACACACACACACACACACACACACACACACCCAAAAAAGTTCTGAGAAGCTCAGTACTTTTATTTCCTGGAAGAATTAGTCAAATAGCAACTTCATTTATCCTAGAAAATGTATCTGGAACCACTGTTTATTTAATCTTTATTATATGGGTCAAAAAATGTTTGAATACTGGCAATTTATATGGTTCAACCTAACTGATTTTAGCATTAACGGCAACAGAAATTTCTCATTATATGACCTGAATGTTAAGTTTCTCTTTATAACAAGCACCCACAATCAAGTCAGTCAGGAAAAGTGAGAGGGAAAGGTGACCTCCTTTGTTTTTAATTATGCTATCAGATATTTGGGATCTATTGTTAGTTCAATCACTACCAGAGTAAGTTAGGCAAATCACAAAATCTCTTTGGCTCCTTTTTCCTTTTTCTGTCATGTAAAACAAAAACAAAAACAAAACAAAACAAAACAAAAATCAGAAATTTATTTTCATGCAATTATTTACAAAACCAAACCATGTTTTGGAAATCCAAATAATAAAATAGGCAAAAGTTGAGCTGGAAAAAAAAAAGTGAGAATCCCAGATATAAGATATGCTTATATCCAGGGTCAGGGATTCCAACTACAGTCTAGGACTATTCTACATGGTCCTACCAATGTTCAATAAGTATCACCTTGGGAGTCAGAGTAAGGCACAGAATTTTTGGTAATCTCTTTCTTTTAATGTCTATAAGTTTAATAAAAATTTAAAATGTGGTAATTTTCTAATTATTAGAACTTATAGTCAGTTTTTTAATATTTTAATCTTACCTGTTTGCAACTGTGTTCTTAGATGGAATCCCATCAAAAACGATGACTCGATCTGCTAGATAGGTGGCCATGATAAAGTCATGCTCCACAACAAAGGCTGTCTTCTTTGCATGGAGTATGAAACTAAAATACAACAATTTGAAAGCCTTTTATAGCTTTATATCACAAAACATTCAAGTGTGATATTAAGCACACTTATATGCCAGTATACATAATCAAAAGTAATATGCTGTGGCAAGACATTTACCGTTTGACAACACGAGCTGCCATCAGTCTCTGCTCAGAATCCAAATATGCAGATGGTTCATCAATTAAATAGACATCAGCAGGTTTGCCCAAACAAAGAGCTAAAGCCACTCGCTGCAGTTCACCACCAGATAATGTCTGCACCTAAAAGAAGTTTAGGAAACTATGTAAAGAAATCCCAAATCTGAAATAAAATTAAAAAATTAATGAATATACTTATGTTAGCATACCTCTTGATCAATGATGTTTTCAATCTGCAGAGGCTTCATCACATCAGTCACAAATTGCGGATGAGTGTAAGCATCTCTTATCTTTTCATGTAACAACTGGCGAACACTTCCCTGTTTTCAATGGAAAAAGTTTTTAAGTGATAAAAAATCAGTATAGAATTCTTTGTTTTTCTTTTTGTGGACTGGGGATTGAACCTAGGGACTTAAGTACCCTAGGCAAGTGTTCTACCTTAGAGCTGCAGCGATATTCTGAGCCCTTCTGCAATTTTATTTTGTGACAGGTGCTGCCAAGTTGCCCAGGCTGACCTCAAACATGGGATCCTCCTGCTTCAGCCTCCTAGGAGTAGCTGGGATAATCTTTATTATATGGGTCACGAGTTCAAAGCCAGCCTCAGTAACTCAGGAGGTCCTAAGCTTTATTATAGCTGGGATATGATGGTGTGTGCCATCATACCAGGTAGTACAGAACTCTTCTACTTAGGAAGTTAAACTGCAGAGAAAATCTATATTGCTTGGCTACCAGGAGACAGCAATTGAATTTTTAATGATTACTGAACATTTATAGCATGTTTTGTTATATTTTTAAAAAAATATTTACTTTTTAGTTTTAGGTGGACACAATATCTTTATTTTATTTTTATGTGGTGTTGAGGATTGAACCCAGCACCCCACACGTGCCAGGTAAGCGCGCTACCGCTTGAGCCACATCCCCGGCCCAGATATTTTTTATTTAATAGTCATTACAACAAATAAGTAAATAGGCAATAATAATCTAAAAATTTTAAATCAGAGATTTCAGGGAAGAAGTAATTTTAAAGTGGGAATAATTCTGAATCCAAAAGTAATCATTCATAAATAACACAAAATGCACCATAATATTCTAGGGTTGAATCATAAGATGCTTGTGTTTACTATTTCAGGATAGGACTCAGTCTAAGAAGATCATGGAAAATATCAATAACGAAACACTTATTGTAAATGAAATTGTTTGAAATGGACACAACATTGGCTATTAGGTACTGAAAGCAGATATAACAGTTAAAAGTTCATCACAACACCTGAAGAAATCAAAGAACTTTAATATAAGGTTTCCAAGTTTTATCCACAATGTAGTATTTACCAGTATTTCATTTCTTTTGGTGGAATAACCTTGCATTTTATGGATATATCATGCTGTGTTTATCCATTCATAAGCCATTCATCTGCATTATTTCTAATTTTTGGCTATTCTAAATAATGTTGCTACAAATATGTGTATACAAGTTTTGGGTACCAATATATGTGGTATCCAGTGCTTGGATATACATCTAGGAGTTGAACCTGATAACTTTGCTGAGGAACTGCTAGATTATTTTTCATAGTGAATGCATTATTCTACACTCCCACCAACAATGTATGAGGTGCCAATTTGTTCACATCTTCTCTAATAGCTATTACTATCCAGCAGTATTACTATTACTATTGTGGATTTTAGTGATCTTAATGAATATAAAGTGGTGCTGGGCAACTTGGCAGCACCTGTCTCACACACACTTTTTTTCGATAATCAAATAATCACAATATCTTTAATTAATTATTTTTATTTCAAACACAGTGCCTCACTCATGCCAGGCAAGTGTTCTACCACCGAGCCACAACCCCAGCCCAAATCTTTTCATGTTTATTAGCCACTTGTATTTGTTCTTTTAAACACTGACCTCTTTTGGGGAAAGGGCACTTTTTTTTTTCTTTTTAATATTTATTTTTTAGTTGTAGTTGGACACAGTACCTTTATTTTATTTACTTTTATGTAATGCTGAAGTTGGAACAAGGACCTTGCACGTACCAGGCAAGCGGTCTACCACTGAGCCACAACCCCAGTCCTGAGAAAGGGCACTTTTCAATTGAGTTTCTAGAGTTTTAAAAATATATTCTTGGCAGGCTGGGGAATATAGCTCAGCTGGTAGAGTGCTTGCCTTGCAAGCACATGGCCCTCGGTTCAATCCCCAGCACCACAAAAAAACAAAACAAAACAAAACCCACAAAAAAACAAAAACAAAAAACCACAGATCAAAGATTAGTTCAAATGTTTTCTTCCACCTTTTGAGTGGCCTTTCCTCTTTCTTGACAGTATCATCATGCACAAATTACATTACGTTTTTAAAGGTGTAGGAAAAAAGATAACAAGCAGATTTAATTTTTTTTTTTTTTTTTGGTACTGGGGATTGAACCCAGGGGCACTCAACCACTGAGCCCTATCCCTAGCCCTTTTTTGTATTTTATTTAGAGACAGGGTCTCACTGAGTTGCTTAGGACCTCCTGAGTTACTGAGGCTGGCTTTGAACTCGTGATCCTTCTGCCTCAGCCTCCTAAGCTGCTGGGATTACAGGTGTGCAACCCCGCCTGCGCTCAGATTTAAAAATATTTTCCACTAGTAGTTGAAATGAATCAAGGACCACTTTTGTGGTGTCTATTAATACTGTACAAGATTTTCTTTTTTTTTGGTGTTAGGGATTGAATCCAGGACTCCACATGAGCTAGGCACACGTATCACTAAGCCATATCCCCAATCCCTTAATACAAGGATCAAACTATAAAAATGTGTGTGAGCGTACACACACACACACACACTTTTCTTTGATAATCAAATAAAAGATGAAACAACTTACAGTTGATTTGGGACTGATTTTCTGTGGCTTATAACTGACATTTAGAACTGGCACTTCTCCTGCAAAACAATATGAATACACAACATATGAAATATCACCCAGATTTTAAAGTTTAACTATGTGGAACAGACTAAAGATTATATTTACAAAAGTACCTCCTTCATCAGGTTTAAGTCTTCCAGCAAGCATTCTGATAAAGGTCGTTTTACCTGTACCTGGCAATGTAACATACAAAAAATTGTTCTGAAAGATGCTTTACACTTCAAATAAAGCACAATGTCATACTTCTTTTTATCTGAGAAATTTGTTTTAAAAATAATACATTAACATTTTGGAACCTGAAGGTTATACAGAAAAATACTTAAATCTTTTGTGGCTTGTATTGAGTACAAGTTTATTACGAGAAATAAAGACTTGTCCAAGTTTATAATAACCATTTTAATAAATGGTAGATCCATAAAGCTTGGGATAGTTTTTTAAAAAGACTCATTTAGCTAAACGATCAATTAAAATAGTATAGAGCATTTTATAATAGATACCATTATTTGAAATTATTTACATAAAGCATTTAAGTTGCAACCCAATTGCGAATTTATACTGAGTAAGAGAATTATATTACAATAATCCTTACATATTTTTTTTCTAGTTTTGTTAGCTGTAGATTACAAGACAATGTTTATTTTTAAATCATAAAACACCAGATATTGAGTAGTCAAATTAATCTCACAACTATACTTATGGTGACAATTTATATTGAAAATGTTAGTCATACAACTACTTACAAAAGTAGACAGAGTACTCTGAATTGAAAATAAGTTCCAAAGAGAATTGTACAAGGAAAATCTTAGATTGTTTCTGAATTACCAATTTATGTTTTCCTTTCTAGTCATTTTGCAAGATGATTAAATGCCTTAATAATTTATACATAGAAAAACTGAGTAAAAGTATTTTCCAAGGATGTAGTGATACAAAATAGGAAATATTAACTTGCTTGAATAACAGATTAAACTATACAATGCCACAAAAATGTGAAGCTATACTAAGAAATTTATGGATTAAAAACTCAGCTGCCAATTCTAAAAATTGAGTCAAAGTTTTTCATGGAATAGGCAAAACAAATTTACTAGATAAGCAGAACAATCTTCTATATATATAAAAAAAAAAAAAAAAAAAAAAAAGGAAATCTTACCATTTTCCCCCAGCATCACCATGATTTCAGAATCTGTGAACTCTCCAGCTACAATTGCTAGCTCAAACTCTCCCATCTTTTTCTTCATACCCGGATATTTATACATACACATCTTTTTAACTTCTTCTTCATTTGCTGTCTCAGCCACTTTAAAAACAAGCGATGCATCTCGGAATCTCAAGTTTTCTGTTGGCACATAGCCATCCAAAAAAATGTTTATGCCTATTGTGAAGAAAAGACCAATTAAATACTAAACTTTCCTCAAATCCTAGAGTTCTTGGGAGCAATCTCCATATAGATTTTAATTTCTGTGGATTTCTGATAATATGTAGGGTACTATATAATAAAGTGACTCAAAAGTACCTATGCACACACACCCCCACTCATGTGCACACATCAAACACATTATTTCATTATATTATTTAAGATGCAAGATTATTTAAAATTTTTTTTTGCCACCAGGTTTTATGCAAAAGATGGCATACTATGTCATTTTTGCTGTATTTTAAAATCAAAGTCAAATTATAATTTTTCTCTAAAAATGTATGACACGTAGGTAAGAATGAAATACGTTCAGATTGGCCTAAAATAGCTTCAGAAATAACTCTTTAATAAACAATTTAAGTTATGAGTATTTAATTTCAATTTCCTATGATAACACATTTTGAAGCTATAGTTTACGGCATTTTTTAAAAGATTAATTTTGTAATTTCATGACAAAAGTGAATGAGCTAACTTCATTTAATATTTGTTCTGACTCTACAAAGATAAACTCCCTTATCTAAACAGATTTTTTTTTTTTAATATCAGGGATTAAACCCAGGGGTGCTTAACCTCTGAGCCACACCCATAGCCCTTTTAATTTTTTAATTTGAGACAGGGCCTCGCTAAGTTCCTAAGGCTGGCTTTAAATTTGTGATCCTCCTGCCGCAGCCTCCCTAGCCACTGGGATTACAGGTGTGTGCCACCACATATAGCTACCTAAACAGATATTAATAAATGAAAGTAAACTAACATTGTACATGAGACTCCCTCTCTACTAAAACTATAAGATCCACAATGACAGACACACAGAAAAGAAAAAGTGAATTATTTGGGAAATAATGTAAGATCTTTTTTTTTTCAATGTTTCTAATATTGAAGTAAAATAAGAGAAAGATAGCAGCTAAAGTTCTGTAAGGTCTTGAAATGCAGTATAAGGATGTTATTAATTTCATCTGCAATTGAGAGCCACATCAGGAGGCCTGGATCCTCAGCCTATAACACAGGTGTAAAATAAACTTTGCTGCTAGAACAAATGAACAGATACATTTATTTTGCCAAAATCCCATGTTTTTCAACCTCATTTAAAAATTAGACATATAAAGAAATTAAAACCAAAAATGACAAAGAAATACCAACTGAAAGAAAACTAAATAAGCCACTTAATTCTATCTAATCTAATCCATCAATTAAGGAAACAAAGGCTAAAAGAAATAAGTGAGTTTGCTCAAAAAAGTCAGGCTTTACATTCCTAATATTTGTCTTGTCAGTTTAAACTAATTCAAACTATATTTATCTTCATAGTACATATAGTGTTTTCAATATTTATTCATATCATCATAAACCTGATTCTAGAATTATTATATGGTGTGAAGAACTCATGTTAATTATAGAGAATAAAATATCAACAATTGGTTCTGATTAACACCCCTAAAGCTACTGTTAAGAAAACCGGGCAACCTCACAAAATTTTTCCTTAAAATATTTACCTTAGTAGGTAAGTTATAAATTCCTTCCCCACATCTCCCCCTCTGCCCCTGTACTGAGAACTGAACCCAGGGTACTGTACCACTAAACTATATCCCATACCCTTTTATTCTGAGACAGGGTATCGCTAAGTTGCCCAGGCTGCCTTTGAATTTGCAATCCTTCTGCCTCAGCTTCTCTTGTGTATCTGTGATTACAGGCATGTGCTGGCATGAGCTATTCCTTCCCTACATCCTAATTTTTTTTTTTTTTTGTACTGGGGATTGAACCCAGTGGCACTAAGTTACATCCCCAGTTCTTTTATTTTAGGAGAGAGTCTAAGTTTCTGAGGCTGGCCTTGAATCTGTAATCCTCCTGTCTTAGCCTCCTGAGTTGCTGGGATTACAGGCATGCACTACCATGCCTGGCATGTTTCTTAAAAATTATAAAAGCCACTACCATTTTTTTTTTTAAAGTTTGTTTTTAGTTGTAGATGGATACAATATCTTTATTTTTATGTGGTACTGAGGATCAAACCCAGTGCCTCAGCATGCAAGGCAAGCACTCTACCACTGAGCTACAACCCCAGCCTTACCACCATCTTTTAAAAAAAAGGATATGATATAAATTTATTTTTCCAAAAAGTGTTTTTTAGATATTTCAATCCTTCTGAAGAGATAAAAGAAAAAAACATCTATTACACTTCTCAACCCTAAGATACAGACTAAGTAGTTCTTTTTATGTTCTATGTTATCAGCTTTGGACAAAGAGAAGAAACAAAGTACTATAAGTAAGCAGTGGAAACAGAAAAAATCAAAAGGAAAAGGTATGCAAGCTGGAGAATGAATTGCTGCTTTCAGGAGTCTTTTAGTGGTCAACAGTTTCTATTGTTTAGTTTGCACATGAGGAGACATTGGAAGACAGTCAAGAGAATCCCTCTTTCATGAATGTTCAGGGAATAAGTGAAAATATGCTTATTAAACTACCTTATTAGTTTTAGATAGCCTTAGTTCCATAAACTCATGACATAGATTACAGTTAGAATATGATGAGCAATGAATGGATTTTAAGAGTTTTATTATTGGGATTGGCCCATCAAAAACAAATTAAGATGACAAATACTGCAGAAATAAAAATGTAGTTAAGACTTTTAATAGAGCAAAAATAGTAAAATTGCATTTTTATCCCTTCCCAACAGAAAATTCTCTATAAAAGAAATACTTTTTCTATAACATTGATGTATATAATCTTTTACATATACTGTTCTCCTCAGTGATTAAATTCCAGGAGATCAGTTTTGCATAAATAGTAAAGCAATAAAAAAACTAGTCAATATCAACAATACATTTTCTTTTTTCTTTTTTTTTTAACAATACATTTTCTAAGCATCAGAGTGGAAAGGAATACAGCATATGTGAAAACATTTTTTTCAAGTTACCTTCTCTTACACTAAAAGGCATAGTGACAACACCATAAGCACTCGGTACACCATATAAACAGCAGATGAAGTCAGAGAGATAGTCTAATACACTTAGGTCATGCTCCACCACAATGATATATCTGAAAATCAAAACAGACTTTTATTTTAAAATTTAGCATAACACATAATTAGATAACTTCTATTTCTTTTTACTATAGCAGCAAATTGTAGAAAACCAGATATATTTTAAACTACTTAAATGTAAAGAATATATGAAGCAAAGCCATAAAATATTTCTTACATAGGCTATCAATGTCTATATTTAAAAATGTTTCCCTAAATTAAAAGGAAAACAACTAATATGAAAAGTTTACAGATATAATGAAATAAATATATTTTGGTAATAAGAAACACATACTAATAAACTCTACAAAGTAAAAGCAATTACAATGATACAGATGCAGTCTAAATTATTTGAATATTATGCTATTCAATTTAAGTATTAAGCCCTATGATTAACTGTTCTGCCTCATGCTAGCTGTAGCAAGATACAGAGAGAAAGATAGCACAAACCCCTTAGCCCCAAAACTTTGAATTTTTATGAAGACAAGAATGGATTAAAAAAATGGATATGAAATAATAACAACAATAAAAAAAGATATGCTGGACAAATAATAAATCCCAATGAAGGTCAGATAGGAAATAGTTTCCTGTATACTGAGGGACTTTATGAATGAGATATGATATGACATGAAACTAAGATTTGACTGAGGTGATAAAAAAACATTGCTATTAGGTAAAAAATAGTTTGCTTTTATGTATCACTTTATTCCTATTCCAAGACAGTTCAAGATGTTTAAAAATGTTCTGAAGACATCTCAAATGCCAACTTAATGCAACAACCTGCAAAAAAAAAATTCTCCATTTTTGTATTAACCCAACAAGTCTCAAGTTTTCAATTCTGCAAACATAATAAATATTCAAATATTATTTCAATGTTACCACAAGTGATATATTTGTTGTTGAATTTAATTTTTACGGGTATTTTACCTCTTGTATAATGGGGACAAAATGGGCTAATGAAATCATTATCCTCCCAACAACAGAAAAATAACTGTTTATTCCTATTAAAACACTGTATAAATTGTAAAGTCTGTGAATTCTTTTCCAAAGTGCTGTGTAATAATTTTGTTCTTTTCCTTCTCTTCTTAAATTCTAGTTTAGGCTCCCATTACATTTCTTTCGCTATTACTGTATTTTCAACAAATCTCACTTTCTTCAGATCCCCTGATGTGGCTCTCAATTCCACATGAAATGAAACTTCCTTAAACTCTTTCAAGATCCTCCAAAACTTTAGCTTTCTTTACTTCATTTATATATAGAAAAAACTGAAACGTAGTTCTTTTTTGCTGAATAATTCATTTCTTCATTTTGTGTGTCAAAAGGCTGTTTTTCTCCTTAGTCTCCTGCCAAAATCCTACTTGATCCTTTAAGTTCCATCTCAATTCCTACCCACTGTAGGGAAACTCTTCCTAATAGATGAACTGTTTTCTCCACTCCTGAGGTCCTATTATAAGTATCTGAATATATATTTGTCAAACCTCCTGCCTCCCCCTCTTTCAAATGGAGCTTCTGCAGACAAAAGTCCAAAATACGACTTCAGTCTGCCACTGTTTTTCTGCAATCCATCCTTTCTTTATTCCTTGCTATTTTTCGAAGGATATGATCTCCAAAATCTTTCTATAGCATTCAAGACTAAATATATGTTATGACATGCAGGAGAATTTCAGTATAAAAATACGCATCTTATGGCTCATTAACTATCCATCACTACATATGGATTATTTTAACTCTATAAATGAGATCAGTATATTTGTGAAAATGTCTCAATCAAGTTTTTCCACTTTGTTAGTCTAATTTTTCTTAACATATTATTCCTATTATAATTAAAGGTTACTGCTCTGTCCCTCATTGAAAAAATATCTTACATATTATTACTTTCCTTACTAATTTTTTCCCTGAGGTCCATCCATACCTATTATTTACTTCATCTATTTTTCCTATACAGAATAGCTCTTAATCTTTTAATGTTAAATTTATTCCTTACAAATGAGTTTAATCACCTCATATCTTACCCAGGGGCCTCTACCACTGAGGTATACCCCCAACCCTTTCTATTTTTTGATACAAGGTTGCTAAATTGAGGTGACTGGCCTCTAACTTTTGATCCTTCTACCTCAATCTACTGAGTCTCTAGGATAACAAGCATGTGCTACTGTATCCAGCTTAAGCTATCCTTTATATAATAGTTAAGAAGTTATTTTATACCTGGCCAAGTAAGACTTTTTACTTTTTATCATGGATATTCATAATTTCACTCGTGTATCTAGGTGAATTATTTATCTTCTATAGGACTTTTCTTTAAATTTAGGAACCTGAGATTTTTATTAATTCTGAAAAATTATCAGCCATGATCCCTTCATGCCTTTATCTTTCAGATTCCATTTTATTTTTATGTATTTTTTTTTATTTTTCAGATTCTTAAGATACAGCAATTACTCTTATTTCATTCTCCATGTTTCTAAACCTCCCTTCCATATTTCAATTTCTTTCTCTCTCTGTAGTATGCCACAAAAACTCAAACTTTTAAGGTTTCTAATGCTCTTTTCTACTAGCCCTAATTTACTTGTCTAGGGATTTTTTTTTTTTTTTTTTGGTACTGGGGATTGAACCCAGGGGTGCTTAACCACCGAGCCACATCCCAAGCCTTTTTTATGTTTTGAGAGAGGGTCTCACTAAGTTGCTGAGGCTGACTTTGAACTGTGATCCTCCTGTCTCAGCCTCCCCATCTGCTGGGATTACAAGGTTGTGCATCACTGTGCCTGGGTGTTTAGGGAATTTTTAATGTCACTAACTAATTTGCTTAGGATTTTGAACACTTATTGCTTTTTTATAGCATCATGTTCGCAGGGTTTTTGATCCTTTTAAATATTTTACATTATTTAATAATTACTTCAGCATTTCTATCTTATTATATTTTCTAACTATATTTGTAAATAGTTTTCTCTTGTAATTTATAACCCTAGATCTGAGCTCATGCTTGATAGTCTTTACATGTAAAAATGCTGTGCAATCAGATTTGAGGGCAAATCCCTCCAGAGCAGTTTTTTATTTACTACTACAGGTCTAAAAATCCCAAAAGCCTTTTTAAAATATTACTCTCTCACCCTGAAGGGTTTATAGATACTACTGGTTACATACATTGAATTCCATAGCCATGTAAACTACTGGCTCCTAAACAGAGATTTGAAAGGGAGCTGTCCCTAAATTTTCAATGTGTTTACTTGACATTTCCATGTGCTTATAATTTGTTTCCAAATTGCCTGTTTGCTAAGGAGTTCTTTCAGAGTCCTGACATATTATGTGTAATGATCCAATGCAAGGTGTTGCTTCTTTTCCACAGTGGATGTTAAAACCTAAGGCCTATTAGGGATGTCAGCAACATCTGGAAGGCCATCCCCTCATCTCTCCACTTTGTAATTCTCAAAATTCTTTTTATTTTTCCTTGCAAGATAAACCATGTATTTCAAATGACATTTATTAAAAGTTATTAAGGAGAGAGGTATCATGGTATAAAAAAATGCCGTACAGAAAACACTCCCCCTACCCCATGTTTTGATTACAGCTTTCTCACACACTAAATCAGTAATCTAGGACACATAACTAGCTTTTCTGATCTTAAACTCCTTCAACTGAAAAATGGGAAGTACCTAAATAATCTTAGCAAGAATACCATAAGCAAATGAAATAATGGCTTTAAAAACTTTGAAAACTAACAAAGCACCTTATGGGGGTATGATTACTTAACAGGTGATTAAGAACTCTTTTTTGCTCAGCAAGATTTTAAACACTGATATTCAGAATTACTCTAGTGATTCTTATGTCTTAAATTAGTGTATGAGAGACTTCTATTTGAGAATCTAGCAAAAGCTAAAGATCTACTTCCTAAAATGGAATATATTTATGTGAAAAACTGCATTTAATTTCAGAGAATTCATAGGTTTCCTAGAAACAGAGATATACGAATATATGAATCTTGCTCTAAGAACTTTTGTTCTAGATAGAGAAAAGTAAATTTTAGTGGTAGCTCTAAATAACCAATATTAAGAATCTATACACGTAGATGGATAATGCACTTAATTTTTAGAAATCTTGTTAAACTCCCCAAATAAAACAACAGAGGAATATTCCAGACCTATACTTACCTATCTGGATTTATTAAAGATCGGATAGTAATAGCAGCCTTTAAACGCTGCTTGACATCTAGGTAACTAGAAGGCTCATCAAACATGAAACTATAGGGGGGGAAAAAAAGGAAAATAATTTCAAAAGACAAACATGACATCAATCCACCTTGCATGTTATTTTAAATCAGTACTAATGGCTTCTAATGTAACTACAAGCAAAATCTCATTCATACCAATAAAGAGCATGTACCCATAACAGTAAAAATTTCTGTATTCTTATCAGAAACAGAAGAAAAAAATCGATTATGAAAAGCAGGACTGTATACCACATTTGGGGAAAGCCTCCCAGATTAGACCAACTTATAAACTGGTTCTACCCTCAAGAAAAAATATCCCGACATATGGCCTGTAATAGTTTGGAGAGCTTTTCTCTTACTTAGCTGAAGTATAAATGCATTAAAGCCAATAGTTTTTTGGAGGACACTGCACAGAATTCACAGAATACTTTGTGGAGAAGAGCCAGCCTGTATTAGACACCAGAGTGAAAACATGAAAAAGATGGGATCAGTAAACAGCTGGGAGAAGAGCGGCACTAGAAGCTAAGAAGGAAATTTGCCTTTTTCACTCTCTTTTTCTCCCTCATTTAGCATGCCACCCTGACATATTACAGTGGTCTAAAAAGACCTTTTTTTACTTGAGGTATTTAAAAAAGCTTGTTGGGCTGGTTGGATAACTTAAGTCTTAAAACTTGGAATGTATAAATCATAAACTACTTATCAGGGAATAACAGGAAAAATTGGTAATGGATGCACAACTGCTTCAACATCTTACTTCAGAAGTACAGCTTTAGATGCCATTAATTCCTCTCAAAACCACTGCTGTATTACAAATTAAAGCAAAAATAAGGATTAAGATATTTATAAAAATTGTAAAGAAACCTACATATCAGCTTTCTGTATGCAAACGACAGCACAAGCAAATCTCTGCAACTCTCCTCCTGAAAGATCTTCAACATTTCGTTCTTTTAGGTGGGTTAAATCTACAAAGAACATGGAGGCATTGTGTTCAATTTATCAATTTCATTTTACCTCTCTGGACAAAATGTATATTGCATGTTATGACTCTTGAGTTTGTACGACATTTCAGTTGAAAATTATAAAACATTAATATGTATGACAATTACTAAAGATTTTCCCATTTATTCCAATAATCAATATAAAGATGTACATCTTTATGAATTTAAGTTCAGGGTCTTTAAAAACACATTAACAAAATAAACTCTTACCGAGTTGTTGACATACAATTGCCTGTGTCTTTGTTTCATCCTTTCGGTCCAAAATAGACCCCACTGTCCCCTGTCATGATACCAGAAATAGTTACCATTATTTTCCTTCAATATTAAAATGAGTTACAAAATAAAATGAGTTTACTTTGATGTAGCTTTTGTATCTCCTTAATAACTATAATATAGAAATTCTTCCTGAAAAGCAACTGACCTTTGCAGCCTTGGGAATCTGGTCTACATACTGAGGTTTGATAATGGCCTTTAGGTCATCTTCTAGAATTTTGGTAAAGTAATTTTGTAATTCAGATCCCCGGAAATATGTCAGTATCTCCTGCCAGTCAGGAGGATCCTAGAAATATACATATCAAATTTAAGTTAACAATGCAATTTCAAAGAAGATGAATATTATACAAAATTGAACATATACTGAAATCGAATACTTCAGGACTCTAAATTTGGAGGTAGATTTAATTTTAAATCAAGGCATACCAACTCACAACATTTTAGGAACTCTCAGTTGAGGAAATTGAGAACTCTCAGTTAAGTAGAACTATCAGGTTTTAATTCAAAAGGAATGAAAAAACTTCATCCACACAGTTTCTCAGCATTACAAAAAAATCTTAAAAACAACATGGAAAAAAAAAATCACACATAAATTTCTCCCTTCAAAATCTTAAAAGACATCCAAAGATAGTAATTTTTATAAAATACCTACATCATACTTTCCAAGGTTTGGCTTTTGCTTTCCTGCTAAAATTTTTAAAGCAGTCGACTTTCCAATACCATTAGTTCCAACTAATCCCAAAACTTCACCTGGGCGAGGAATAGGCAACCTGATGTAATATACAAAAAAAAAAAAAAAAAAAAAAAAAAAAGCCACAGAATAACCTTCAGACTTAGGTAGCAACAGCTATATAACATCACAACAATGTATTTTAATGCACTTGCACTCCACACACATCCATTAGTAAGCTAAGAAATATATATCTATGCAGATATTATTGGCTATTAGGAATAAAACAGCCAAGATTAATTTAAACTGTTAATTGTTAGAAATGCATCTGTGACCAATATTACTCTGAATTTTTCTTATTCAATGTCCATTCTAAAGTAAATTTCTTCTTTACATATAAGGCTCAGTTTTAATGTATAGCAAAATGCTTCAGTACAAAATTACATAGCAGGTGCAACCTCACACTAACATTTTTATTTTTTTCTGGCCTGCCAATTACTTACAAGGAGAGAAGTGCCACATCAATCAGAAAAATTCCACTTCATTCTCCCTGCTGCAGTTGGCCCCTTAAAGCTGGCAGGTTGAGAAATATCTTTTTATTAATAAAGCCTAGATTTCTAGATTCAAAATATTAATGTTCAGCAGACAGAAACCTCAAAGAACTATAGACCTTGTAATTTAATATGTCTAAGTTCAGAGTGATTTCCTCTGTAGATAGATTAATAGATTAAAAATAAAACTAAGGGCAAGATCCCTTAGAAGTTATTTTGGGGATAAAGTTATTATGAACAACAGTCATTCTCAACCTGGTTATATATCAGAATCACCTAGGACTTCGTCAGTCCCTACATCAATAGATAATAATGTAGTTTGACTGGGTGGAAACCTGGGCATTAGCAGTTGTTTCAAAGTCCCAGGATTTAATTCTAATACTAACCAGAATGAACCGTTGACATACATATTCACACATGTATCTACATATATACAAAATACAATTTTGTACAATGCTATAATATTCTCTTCCCCTTTGATGGATGGTCAATATCAGTTTTCCCCCTAATTTTGTTATTTCTCTAAAAATTCTAAATGTTATTTTATTCTTAAATTGACCGAGTTAAAGAAGAATGCTAACATGAAATATACCTGTGAAGTTTGAAGGCATTGGCACAATATCGATGTGTTGTTTCTTTTTCCAAGTTGCTTGGTAAGTTGACAATTGATAAGGCGCCAAAGGGGCATTTCTGGTTAAAAAAAAAAAAATTAATTTTGTATTAATTTGTAGAAAAATACATGACTAAATGGATTATTTTTATAAGCAGTCTTCCAAAGATGGGAATTTTACAAGAATGTGAATTTATTTTTTAATTTCCTTTACTTATTTGCTTAAAAATTAAGCTGTGCTTGGCTCAGTGGTGCATGCCTGGAATCCCAGCTACTCAGGAGGCTGAGGCAAGAGGATGTCAAATTCGAAGCCTGCCTCAGCAACTCAGCAAGGCCCTAAGCAACTTAATAAGAGTTTGTCTCAAAATAAAAAATAAAAAAGGCTGGGGGTGTTCAGGGTTAAGCAACCCTAGGTTCAATCCTTAGTGCATGTGTGCATATACACATACACAAAGTGGTAAGGTGGCGAGAAAAATTTCACAGAATAGAGGCACATACCCCCCTGCAAAAGCATTTGTTTTCTAATAAAGTAACCACCATCTCTAGATAAAACTTTTAATTCTTTTTAAGTTATATTTTTCTACCAGTGGAGTAACTTTTATTTATAAAATGTCTAAATGCATATAAAATGCTTATAGGTTGTAAATGATTTAAACTTCTCTAATGTTACAAGGAAAGATACCACCATTGTTTATAAGGTGAATTATTAGTATCTTATTGTTCAGAAGTATATATTATCTTTCTACCCCCAGACAGATTCATTTCATTAGTATGTTTTTAGCCACTCAAATGCCATTTCCAAAATTTTGAAATCTCATTTTCTTTCTTTCTTTCTTTATTTATTTAATTAATTAATTTTTTTAGTTATCGGCAGACACAACATCTTTGTATGACACAACATCTTTGTATGTGGTGCTGAGGATCGAACCCAGGCCGCACGCATGCCAGGCGAGCGCGCTACCGCTTGAGCCACATCCCCAGCCCGAAATCTCATTTTCTTAAAGCAGAAAATGAAACAAAACAAAAAACAATAGAACAGGGGCTGGGGATGTGGCTCAACCGGTAGCGCGCTCGCCTGGCATGCGTGCGGCCCGGGTTCGATCCTCAGCACCACATACAAAAACAAAGATGTTGTGTTCCCAGAGAACTAAAAAATAAATATTAAAAAAATTCTCTCTATCTAACAAAAAACAATAGAACAGATGATACTATATTGTTCAAAATAGACTCCCAGCACCTTGGGCACAGGCACATATCTTTAATAAAAAGACTAGTAAATATACGCTAAGGGGAATGTTTCCTGCAAAACAAGAGAAAATGTTTACAGGTATCTAGGAAAGTTTTCTGGATACTTAACTGAGGCTTCAGAAACCAAAGTAAAATATACCTATGATTTATTTGAACAATTTATAGGGTGGTATCCACACTCTGGTGAAGTTTCTTTTTGTATTACCTATAAATAAAAATATCTAAATTAAGACTTTAGGGCTGGGGATGTGGCTCAAGCGGTAGCGCACTCGCCTGGCATGCGTGCGGCCCGGGTTCGATCCTCAGCACCACATACAAAAGATGTTGTGTCTGCTGAAAACTAAAAAATAAATATGGGGCTGGGGATGTGGCTCAATCGGTAGCACGCTTGCCTGGCATGCGTGCGGCCCGGGTTCGATTCTCAGCACCACATACAAAAATGTTGTGTTCGCTGAAAACTGAAAAAAATAAATAAAATAAATAAATAAATAAATAAAAATGTTTTAAAAAAAAAAGACTTTATACACTGACTCCTATCTTCCTTTTATAAACTAAATATGGAAATTCACTATTCAGAATCAAAAGTTTAATTAAATTATTCAATGCAACAAACACTAGTTGAGCTTTTAAAAAATTACACAATTGGGTAAACCCCACAGAAGTGTGTGTCAAATACAGTAGAAGCAGCACTTAAGGATTAAATTTAAAAATTTTCGCTGTGTGTATTTCTGCTTAAAAGTGGTGAATTTAACATTAATACAGACTTGTTTTTTATATTTCCAAAAGATTCTAGCAAAGACACCCTGGATAAAGTACATTTCATAAAAAGGCAAATAAAGAGACACAAACTTGGGTTGGAAATGGCTTTACAAAGTTATGTGGGCCAAGGAGAATCTTTCAAAACAGTAGTTTAAAACATCAATTTTAAAAAGCGATATCCTTAGTGATAAGAATACTACATTCCTAAATTAATATTTTTTATTCTTTTGGCTCTTTAGAAGTAGTTATAAAGTAGTCAGAATTTTCATAGTTCACTTTAGGGCTAAAGATGTGATACACTAAATAAAATACTTTCACTTACCTTAATACAAATACCACAACCAATACAAAGAGTTTCAGAAATCCATGCTATTTTGCTCTGGGGAGTAACCTCTATGCATAATTTTCCTGGTAAAGAAAAAAAGTAAGTCATTTTCCCTTATGTTCTATGATTTTCTGATCATCTTTACTTAGGCCATTTTGGTTCCAAATTTCCATAGAGAAGCAAATTTCAAAAACAAAGACTACACAAAGAAATATATTTGAAATACTGTCTTACATCAGTGTTCTGTGGGGGTAAATTTCTAAATTCAATTTCTAAGTCTATTAATTACACAAATATTCCTGTCAGATATTAGGGAGATGACTCTAATATATTTTGTTTTATTTACTACTGGAGAAGAAAATATGCTACTGAAAGTACAACAAACCCTGGACCTTTTTAAGCTGACTGACCTGAATCTTTTCTTTTTTAAAAAATATTCTTTTAGTTGTAGATGAACACAATACATTTATTTCATTTGTTTTTATTTTTATGTGGTGCTGGGGATTGAACTCAGTGCCTCATGCATACTAGGCAAGCGCTTTACCACTGACCCAGCCCCCTGACCTGAATCTTTTATGTAGTCAAGGATACTATAGGTAGGGATAAAATGTTAACTAGATCAGTTAAAAGCAAAAAAGTTATGCACAGGTAAATATATACATAATACATAGGTGAAATTAAACATGATATTAGGGATATTAACAAAGAAATTTTTGTATGCATGGAACATAGTAATAGATGACATCTAAATTTTCTCTTTTTTGTTATTGGGGACTGAACACAGGCTCCACCACTGAGATGTTTGCCATTCCTTTTTATTCTTTTTATTTTGAGATAGGGTCTCACTAAGTTGCTCAGGCTGGCTTTGAACTTGTGATCCTTCTGACTCCACCTCTAGAAGAGGTGGGTTTATAAGTGTGTGCCACTGAATGCAGCTTAAATTTCCTTTTTAAGATTCAGTAAGTCTAGACACTTCACTAGTACAAAGTAGCGATCACATAATATATCCTTTCTAAAGACTACCAACAATTTGTGAGCTTTGAATTGTTAAATTTGTTTAATCTTGATATACAGCAAAACTTTATAAATAGCCATTGCTATTATTTTTGTTTGTTTTTTAAAGATGAGAATACAGTAAAATAGAAAGAAAGTTTTTGATAATCCCCATGACTTAAAAGTAATTACAGAATTTTGTAGAAGAGTAAAAATTGCAGTAATCTCTGGTTTACTTCACATTTAGTAAACCAACGGCTATTTTTTTTTAAACAGGGTCATTTATTCATAAGCAATAAAAGACATTTAGAACAAACTATGAATCTCATCTTTGTGAAACTAGTGGTGGTAACAAAGTTTACGCCATTAAAAAAAACCATCAAATCAGTTTATTTTCTTTCAGGACCTTTTTTTAATCCATAAGTGATCCACCCAACTTACCCATTCGAACCACAGGACAACTTTTTTTGCACTCCTGTCGACATTTCTTAGGTTTACACTTGTCATGGTTAACAATAGCAATTCTTGTTAATTTGTCTGCCATAATTGTAACAAAGTAAGAATATCCAGCTCTTCTGTTAAAAAAAATTAACAAAATTATGGCAAATTCAACACATTTAGGTAAGAATATTCATGGGCATAAAAAAGTAGACACAAAAAATCATTATATGATTAACTGGAAAACACAAGAGAATTTTTAAAAATAGTAAAAAGTATTAAGTAAAGTTGTGAAAACCAATTTCATATACATACCTTAATCAGAAGATTTATATAAGGAAAGAAAAACACAAAGCACTTAAAATAGCAATAAAAAAGAAAACACCTAGAACAATATATGAGAACGTTCAAAATCACTAAATGACAAGATCTAACCAAGTAAAATAAACTGCTATCTCAGTTTTTACAATACAGAACAGCCAATACTAGCTATCTGAATTCTCCCTATATTTACACATTTCAACCAATCTCATGAAACAAACAAAAAAATCCCAAAACCAACCAGACAAACCAAATCTAAACTTCTTATGGAAAAAAACCAAAGAAGTGATAACAGTCTTGAAAGCTGAAGAAGAGAAAGAATGGGGAAACTTCCATTTCAAAAACAATTATAAGGTCTCAGTAATTAATACTGATACCAGTGTGAATAGAGACCAATCAAATGGGAAGACCAGATATGAGAACTAATATACATGATAAAAATGCCTGCTCTTCCCTACCCCAAACCAATCATGAATATTTCATGTCTTATCCAACTGACTATAATAGATATTATTGATGAAAATGGAATATAGTTATTAAGGCCATGATCATCATGCTGATCAACTGGGAACTTGCAATATGGCTAATATTGGACTTTATGCTAATAGCAATGAAATCAACTATATATATATGCTGTGCTTATTTTAAGGCTTTTATAAGTCTTCATGTGTAATAGCTATAGAGTATTAAGATCAAAGTGAACTGAAAATTCTTTTATATAATACTGGAATGAATCCCATAACCTCAATTTCAAACCTCATTACTTATACATAATAACTACAATGCACTAATAAAAAATTTTTATGGTACTGGGCTTAGTGCACAGACATTAATTTTCTCAGAATGGTGATGAAGATACATTATTCCAAAAAGTATCTTCATACTCCAGTTTATTCCAATATGTAATGAAGAAATCTGAAGCAAAAAAGACTATCCATTAAAGATATTGTGTTGGCTTTTTCTATAATCCTCTAACCTGATCTTTTTTCATAGACTACTTCCCTTTTGCACACCTTTCAAATCTTTCTCACACCCACCAATATGATTAGGTTTGGAGAGGAGCAAGAGATCTTGTTCTTCAATGTTCCCAGACTATGGTCTCTTTTTTCCTAAAAACAGTAAGTTTGATCTCTCAAATCATCCAAGTGCTTTTTTTTTTTAGTCATTAATGATAATCAGACCATCAAATTCTTTTCATTCTTTGAAGACTTTAGCCCTTGGCTAACTTTCATTCTTTTACAACTCCTGACACAGTTTTTTATTTTCATTTGCTCATAGATGACATTCTATTAATTGCATATCATCTCAGTTAACTCCTCTCATCCAATAATGTCTTCTACCTTACCACAGCCACTCATTATTCCCTGGACCTCATCATTACAAGTAACTACAATCCATCCATAACCTCAATTTCAAACACCTCATTCTCCAACCACCACTCCTATAGTTCACCCATCTAATACATAACAATCCAAGAACTCTTTGATTCCTCTCTCCTCCATACTATCTCTTGATCTGCCACATTCCCACTACACCACAGTTATCTTTATTTCCCTTCAAACTTAGCTAAAATTACACTGTCAATCATTTATACCCTCAACCACAATCTTGGTTAAATCCATTTCCTCATCTGCATGGAGCCAGAAATGGGGAGGAAAAAAAAAAAAACAACAAACAAAGCCTGCTGACTGGCTTCCTTTTAAATTCATCATCTCAAATGGACCCTCATGCAATTAACGAGCAATCACACTATACTGGTCCCTCATTATCCATGGAGGACTGCTTTCAGGTTCTCCTTGCCCCAGTGTACAGCAAAACCTGATAAAGTGCAAGTCCTTATATAAAGGCGTGTACTATTTGTATATAACCTGTGTACATCCTCTTGTATATTACAAATCATCTCTGGATGACTTAAAATACCTAATACAATGTAAATGCTATGTAAATTGTTGTTATACTTTTTTCTGTTTAGGGAACAATGACAAGAAAAGACTGCACATATCCAGTACAGATGTAATTAAAATATTTTTCAAATATTTTTGGTTGAATACAGAACCTGCAGACACAGAACCCCCAGACATGGAGGACCAATTGTATGTTATTTCCCTAGCTAAGTCTATTTGTTCACAGAATACAGTCCCCCAAAAGAATGTTCATTAAATTCTCCCTTCTGTCTTTCACATCAGTTATTCTCTTTACTGGCTCATGCTCATCAACAGCAGCATTCTGTTATCTTGTTACCATCATCTCCAATTATTTTACCTCTCCTTCTTTAAGGTTACCTGAAAGAACTGCCTATACTCAATGTCTTAAACTTCTCTTCATGCGTTCTTCTCTGGAATCCACTCCAGGCTTTAGAGCCCACTGCTTCATTAAGCAACTTATCATGCCATCTTTGTTCACATGGCTAAATCAAATGGTTAATTATCAAACCTTAACTGATCTGACCAAAATATTGCATCTGACATAAATTATGACTTTTTCTTACTAGATTGAACACTTCTTGATGTGGTTGTAAAATACAATACTAATCTGGGTCTTTTATTTTCCTGGTAACCCCCTTCCTTTTCCTTAAGGTCTCTAAATGTTGAGAGTGTTCTAAGACTCATTTCTATCTATATTCATTCCCCAAGATGTTCTATTCTTGTCTCATGTTTTAAAATCCCACTTTTATCCTAAATTTCTATTTCTAGTCAGGATATCTTCCCCAAACCCAAAACTTGAATTCTACCTGATTACAAGACCTCCTCCTCAGCTGGGAGATCCAGCAGCATCTCCCCAACTGAGCTACTGCAATCCTCACTAATATCCTCTTTTTTAGCAGCCTTACTATTCTGATAAATGGTAACTTATCTCCCATTTACTCAGGTCAAAATCCCTTGTCATCTTTGTTTTCTATGCAACAAAAACTAACCCTATTGAATTTACCTTTAAAATATATCCAGATCTGGCTACTTCTCACAATTTTTATAAGCCATCAACACCATCTTTTACCTGCATTACTCAAATAGCTTCTGACCAGACCTCCTTCCTTTCACCTTTTCCTCCTACTCTAACCCTCAACAGTTCATTCTCAGTTCAGGAACCAAAGTAATCCTTTCAAAGAGTAAGTCAAATTGTATTACTCCTCTACTTAAAAATGGTTCAGTGGCTTCCCTTCTCAGCCTGAATAAAAGTGAAGTCCTTAAATAATCATCAAGATGCTTATCAGCTTCGGTGAACTTTCTGATCTTCAACTGTTCTAGCTCTTGTTCAATGGGTTCCAGCCATATTGGCTCCTTATTGTCCCTAGCACACACCAGACATGTTCTTGCTTTAGGGTCTTGGCACTTTGTTCCTTCTGCCTGTAAAGCTCTCATCCCTAGAGAGCTACATAGCTCAGTTCTCAAGTCTTTACTGTTTCTTAGGACATCTCCAAAAAATATACCCAGCTGCCTTCTGGTATTTTTTTGGGTACTGGGTATTGAACAAAGAAGCACTTAACCACTGAGCCACATCCCCAGCCCTTTTTAAATTTTGAGACAGAATCTCACTAGTTAATTAGGGCCTCACTAAGTTCCTAGGCTGGCTTTGAACTTGTGATCCTCCTGCCTCAGCTTCCAGAGCTGCTAGGATTACAGGCATGCATCACCACTCCAGGCCACCTAGCTGCCTTTTTAACCCTCTTTTTGTTTTATTTTATTTTTTCTCCTTAGCTCTATTATATGACATGCTATCTTACCTAGTGTATATGTATTGTATAAATGCATATGTGGTTCTCTCTATATTCTCCCTCTCTCTCCACATGCATTTTTCTCCTCTCCAAATAGAATGTACTCCATCATCAAGAGGAAAGGGATTTTTGTTTGTTCCAGTGACTGGACCAGTGCCTACACAAAATAGAAATTCAAACATTTCTGTTGAATGAATGAGAAAATTAATTTAAAGACAGTGATTTTCTTCTAGGTTATAACAACTTCCAAAATCCTGCATGCTACCAATATTTTATGGTGACAGTTGTTCACTAAACTATATACTGAGAAAAAAAGAACCTCCCCCCCAAAACTAAGTAGGCATATAATAAACACAGCTATGCTAGCCAACCAGTTCACTAGTCTAAAAACCCACCCAGGCCCTGAAAGTTAGAAGAAATTAAATGACTAATTCTATGATAAAAGCGGTAGTAATTCAACTACAAAAAACCCATTATCCTGAAAAATGACAAATTCTTAAGAACTAAAGATTTTTTAGTAAGCTATTAAAATAAAACTGGACATCATGCGTTCCAATTTAAATACTGAATGCCTTTCTACAAATTAGCTGGTGAATAAATTCACCCCCAGGGGATACATCTTTTATCATAAAATTGCTCCAATTTTTTTTTATTAAGGTATTAAAATGTTTCATTTAATTTTTCAAACTATTTTTGAAAACCAAAAGACATGCTTACAGAAGAATATAAATGTCAGAGGTATCGAATAGATGGATTTGTATAAAAATAGAGATAAGTTATAATGCACTTAAGAGAAACATTTTCACAATTGTTAATCAACTATGTGAACACTATTAGGTCAATTTTTCTGTTACTTTCAAGACTTAGGGAAAAGTAATTACCTATGTTCTTTTTCAGTAGGAAAGATCTGGCAGAGTAAAGCTTGGTGGGGAAGATTATAGTATATGACTGAGGAGAATAAAAAGGGATTTTAAAATATATTTCAAATCTGAATGAAGACAGACTGTTCAAAATAGGTGCTCAAAAAGGTGACCTTGCTGTCATTCTTCCAATAAGGAGGAAAAAAAAGAGTGAGGCATTTGCAGTCTAAAATCAAAATCATTATAATGCTGTTTGAAAGCATTTAAAAGATTGTTGTTAACTTATGATGGTTGAGTTCATGTGCAATATTCTAACCGATGCTTACTGTAGACTATTAGTTATATAAAATACTTATAAGAATTCTTTTTGAAGTATGAGAGAACCAAGTTTTTAATTAAAAAATGACCCACAAAAACCTTCTGGTTCAACTACAGATAAAAACCTTTTGTTATACCGAAAGCATTGTCAGGTATTTGGTACTGAATGAATATTCTCAGCATACAGGACAAATGATTGCAAGGTACATGCCACTACCATAACTGTCTATTTAGCAGTCCCTTGGAAGACAGGGTAAAAGCAGCAAAAAGTTGTTTTGACAGTTATTCCTTAATCATCGATTTTGCCACTTAAAAAAAGAAGAAAAAGGAAAAAAAAAATTATGTAGTTCATGGGTTGTGGGAATTTGGCCATCATTCATTGCCAGCAAATACGTATTGAGTACCATCCTTGAACTCAAGGAATTTAAGATGTGAAAAAGTGAAAAACGGATAAGCCACCAAGGGGGAAAGTACCTCCCCCCCCCAACCTACAGGCCTTCAACTGGGAAATTACATGAGATAACCCCAATCATAGCCTAGTACACGTCGCTCTATGATAAAAGCGGAGCGACGTTAGTCCATAATTTCTGGAAAGCTGGGAGTGGACCTAGTATTCGACTTCATGGCGGCAAGATGCCATGACTCATTCCACAATCACCGAACGGCAGAAAGAAAGCCACAGCTTCCCACAGCCAAATGTCATATTTGATGATATAGCCGTTTTACTGTGAGGGGATACTGCAAGTTCTGAAGGTGCCTTCCTCTCCAGAAGGGTCAGCTGCAGGGTAGGAGCAGGGAAAAGAGCGAGCGGCGGCGGCAGAGGTTGGATCTCCGAGGCGACGGCATGAAGGACCACTCTCCAAGCCGCTGGCTGGGGTGGACAAGAGCTACAGAGAGCCAGGACTGCTGGAGCGGAAGTGCTCCGCGTCCCCGGCTACCGGCGCCACCCGCGCTCAGGCGGTTCCAGCTGTCCCGCGGCAGCCACGCGCTGCTGCTGTCCCCAGCCGTCACCCAAGGCCTAAACACAGGCTCTCGGAACGTCGCGTCTTTCCTAAGAGGCAGAAGTCAGGTAAAGGCCAAACCCCTCCCACCTATTCACGTACCTGGAGAAAGCGATCCCCTTGTGGTGGGGAGTGCACAGGCCAAGACAGCTTTTGCCTTCACGTCTCAGCCAGGGAGCGTGTTCCTGCGGCCATCGGCCAAAATGGCGGTGCCTAGCCGCCGCCTCGCGTTAGCCATAAGGACGTAGTACGCGTGCGCGACAGAGCGCGGGGCGGAGCCCTGGAGGTGGGTTAGGAGAGATGACGGTATGTGATGTCATAGGGCTGCGACCCCCGTCCTAAATCGTCGTTGGGGAAGCCAGGCTGTCGGTAGAAGTGGAGTGGGAGTGGCGTGGGTCTCTTGCCGGTCCTGAGAGCCTCAGTTGTGGCAAACCAAGTCTGGAAGCTGTAAGTGCGTGGGCTTTTCCCCAGCGTAGAGAACGGTTCTGGCGTTAGCAGATGCGTCCTCCTCAATCTCAATGTTTAACTCGCGGTCTCCTCCAGGCTGGTGGGCCGGGTGTGCAGGAGCTCTAGTCATTCTGTCATTCTGATACGCCAGAAGTGTCAAGCAGGTCCTATAGGCTAGTCCCCACGGCGCTCGCGATGGTGTTCTTGTCTTGGCTCCAGCTTCCTCTGAATTGTGTGCTAGGTTCTTCCAGGGCAGAGACCCAGTCTTCTCCGAGCTCAGTGTTTTAGCCACTTGGTGGCGTCCATCCAACTCAGTTCTGTCCCAATGTACAAATGGGCTTTTAATTTTTTTTCTTTTTTCCTTTTCTTTCTTTTCTTATTTTCCCTTCTTTCTCTTTTATTAAGATGGTGGCCATTCAGCTTGTAGTGATGGCTACAGGTTTAGCTTATGAATGAACTTACTCAACCATTTATTCGTTCAATACATTACTCATTGAGTTTTTAAGTCTCAGGCCTTAGTTTCAGTCCATTGTCTCTGCCGCCTACCGCCACCACTGTCATCATTATTATTTTGCGGTGTTGGGTACTGAAATCCAGAGCATTGTGCATGCTTGGCAAGTACTGTACCCCTGCCGCCTTCGGCCTCTTGCCATGATTTAATGAGTAATTATTAATGTGTGGCGGTATTGGAACAACTTAAGATCTGATGGGAGATGGTAAAGATTTTTTGGACTTGTTTAGCGTTCATAATAATGTTCAGTAGCAGTAACTGCACAGCCAGAGCAGTTTTATGTACTCTTCAGTGTCCAAGAAGTATTTTTTCACTTTTGTATAGATTTGCTAAGATTTACAAAAGATATGAAAGATGAAGGGGTATTTGAGTGATTCATTTTGCTATTAAATTTTAATTTTTACCTTTTTCAGAAAGATGCTCAGGTCCTGGTATAATGTGTGTATTCTTTGTTTCTACATAGAATATTTAAAAAATGACCACACCAAACAAAACACCTCCTGGTGCGGATCCTAAGCAGCTGGAAAGGACTGGAACAGTAAGGGAAATTGGGTCACAAGCTGTTTGGTCACTCTCATCTTGCAAACCAGGTAAAATAAAACCAAAAAGCTGTTGACAATAGTTAACTTACAATAATATCATTGTACACTGGATTAAGTTGAGTACTCTTTTTGTTTAGATGCTTTTTAAAAATTCTAATGATTGAGTTTTATTACATATTTTTGTTCAACTGCTTTTAGTCCTATGTACTTAACTAGAGGTCATAAGGTCTCTTCTTTATCCTCTCCATCTCTGCTATGATTTCATTGTCATTTACTTAACATTTTTTTGTTTGCAGTTCTCCTAGATAGATAGATGCAGTTCTCCTAGATAGGATAAATGAGTGACACAGTTTTGGAGTGATTACATACCTTAAAGAATTTCTTTTAGCCTGGGTTTGGATGGACGTCTTGGGTAGCAGTTCTTTTCTCTTAATGTGTTAATGCTATTTTCTTATCCTCTTTTGCCATATTGCAGGTAATAAGACTTATAACTGTCTCCTGTTTTCTAAGTAACTTTGTTTTTTCTGGAAGCATCTAAGATTTTTCTCTTTATTCTTGTAATTCAACACTTGCCAGAACATGGCAGGGCAGGCTATGTATTTATCTTCCCTCATCTATCTAACCAACAATTGGATAGGTATTTTCAATCTGCAGATTCAAGATAAGAGAAATTTCTTTAAGTTGAGGAACTTAAATTATAATTTTTTAAACAAGATATACTGATACATACCTATAATCCCATCTACTTGGGAGGCTGAGACAGGAGGATCACAAGTTCAGGACCAGCCTTGGCAATTTAGTGAGACTGTGTCTCAAAAAATAAAAAGTGGTTTAGTTGTCAAGTTCCCCTGGATTAATCCCCAGTACCCCTCCCCCCACACAAAATATCTGTATACATGAATACACGTATGCGCGCGCGCGTGCTCACATACACACACACACACACACACAATCTATTAGTTTGGTAGCTATTCTTCTTTCAGAAATTTTTATTACTTACACACTAATAAGACTTCTGTATCCATCCTCTCATGCAAGCATCTCTGCCCTTGAGGTTCTCTTCTCTTTTTATGAGTAGTTTATTGAGGTATAATTTACATAAAGTAAAATTCACCCCTTTTAGGTGTACAGGTCTCTGAATTTTAACAAAAATATGTGTCATTACAGTCAAATATAGAACATTTTTGACATTCTAAAGGTTTCCTCAAGCCCCTTTTGTAGTCATTCTTCTGCCTCTCACCTTAGCCCCTGAAAATTTCTGACCTGTTTTGGATTCCTTTGATTTTACCCTTTCCAAAATGCCATTATGAATATAACCATATATTATATAGCCTTTGGGTCTGGCTTTTTTCACTTAACATAATGCCATTGTGAGTTTTGCTGTTGCATATAACAGTAGTTTGTTCCTTGTTTTAGTCAGTTTTTTGTTGTTTTTTTGTTTGTTTGTTTAGTTTTTTGCTGTGACCCAAAGAACTGACAAGAATGGCATAGAGGAGGCAATATTTATTTGGTGCTCATAGCTTCAGAGATCTCAGTTTATAGACTGCTGACTCTTTAACTCTGGGCCCCAAGTGAGGCAGAACATCAGCGCAGAATTGTGTGGTGGAGTAATGCAGCTCAGAACATGGCAACAGGAAGTAGAGAGAGCCATGTTTACCAGGAACAAAATATAAATCTCAAAGGCACACCCCCAAATGACCTGCCTCCTCCAGTCACATCTTACCTGCCTATAGTTTCCACCCTATTAATCCATTAGAGGATTAATCCACTGAACAGGTTAGACGTCTCATAATTTAATCATTTCACCTCTGAACCTTATTGCATTATTTCACACATGAGCTTTTGGGATATACCATATATCCAAACCATAATATTCCTTTTCATTGATGATTATTATTCCACTATACAAATATATTGCATTCTAAAAAAATTGCTCAAGCACCTTTGTAGTCATTCTTCTGCCTCTCACCTCAGCCCCTAAAAATTTCTGATCTGTTTTAGATTCCTTTGATTTTGCCTTACTAGTTAATAGATAAGGTTTAAAGGAACCAGCTTCCAAAATGGTCCTTGGTGATGCCTTCTGATAATCATGTCCTCTTTAGGCCCCTTTCACATTTAGTCAGAGTCTCTGGAACGAGCAGAATATGGCAAAAGTGACAGTATGTGATTTCTGAGACTAGGTCCTAAAAAAGCATTAATACCTCTGCCTAGCTCTTGTTTGGATCTCTCGTTAATGGGGTGCAAACTAGCTGCCATTTTTCTTTTTTTTTTTTTTCCTGTTACAATTTATTTGTTCTTTTTAGATATCATGAAATTAGATTGTATTTTGACATACATACACAGAGTGTATGTACATATAGTACAATTTCTATAGAGTTATATATAGTATAACTTTCTATTCTTGTGGTTGCACATGATGTAGAGTTACACTGGTTGTGTATTCATTTGTGAACATAGGGAAGTTATGTCGATTCATTCTAATCTCTTTCCTATTCCCATCCCCATTCCCTTCCCTTCATTTCCCTTTGTCTAATCCAATGAACTTCTATATGCCCCCATTGTATTGTGTGTTAGCATCCACATATCAGAGCAGCCTTTGTATTTTTGGGATTGGCTTATTTCTCTTAGCATGATAGTCTCCAGTTCCATCCATTTACCAGCAAATGCCATAATTTCATTTTCTTTATGGCTGAATAATATTCTATTGTGTATGTGTTCCACATTTTCTTTATCCATTCATCTGTTGAAGGCACCTAGGTTGATTCCATAAGCTTAGCTATTGTGAATTGAGCTGATGTGGCTGAATCCTATAGTATGCTGATTTTAAGTCCTTTGGATATAAACCTAGGAGTGGGATGACTGGGTCAAATGGTGGTTCCATTCCAAGTTTTCTGAGGAATGTCCATACTGCTTTCTAGAGTGGTTTCCCCAATTTGCAGTCCCAGCAGCAATGTATGAGTGTACCTTTTCCCCCTCATCCCCACCAACATTTATGGTCACTTGTATTCTTGATAATTGCCATTCTGACTGGAGTGAGATGAAATCTCAGGTAGTTTTGATATGCATTTCTCTAATTGCTAAAGATGTTGAACATTTTTTCATGTTTTTTGACTGTATTTCTTCTATGAAGTGTCTGTTCATTCCTTAGCCCATTTATTGATTGGATTATTTGTTTTTTTGGTATTTTTTTGAGCTCTTTGTATATCCTGAAGATTGGTGCTTTATCTAAGATGCATGTGTTAAAGATTTTCTCCTATTCTGTAGGCTCTCTGGTCATGTTCTTGATTATTTCCTTTGCTGTGAAGAAGGTTTTTTGTTTGATACCATCCCATTTATTGACTCTTGATTTTTTCTTGCACTTTTGGAGACTTGTTGAGGAATTTGGTTCCTAAGCCAACGACATGGAGATTTGGGCCTACATTTTCTTCTAGTAGGTACAGGGTCTCTGGTCTAATGCCTAGGTCCTTGATCCACTTTGAGTTTTGTGCAGGGTGAGAAGTAGGGGTTTAATTTAGTTTGCTATGTATGTTTTTCATTGTTCCGAGAACCTTTTGTTGAAGAAGCTATCTTTTCACCAATGTATGTTTATTGTGCCTTTGTTTAGTCTGAGATAATTGTGTTTTTGTGGAATTATCTTTGTGTCTTCTATGTACCATTGGTCTTCATATCAGTTTTGGTGCCAATACCATGCTGTTTTTGTTATTTTAGCTCTATAGTATAATTTAAGGATTGGTATTGTGATGTGTCGTACTTCACTTTTCTTGCTAAGGATTTCAGCTGCCATTTTTTGAGGAAACATGGTCCTATGGAGAGGTTGGTTTGGCAAGGAACCATGGCCTCTTGTCAACAACCGTCCTCTACCTACATGAGCAAACCATCCTCAGTCAAGCCTTCAGATAATTGCTTCTGTAGAGATTCAGTTTGACATGACTATTGCCATCTTAAATTGTAATCCCCCTGAGCAATCTTTATCAGTTTTCCCTGCATGGTTTCCTATTACAGCTTGGCCTCTGGTGCCATCAGTAACAGGAATGTGCCTATTAACCATGATAAACCAGGTACATTCCAGCTTGAATGTAGTCACTTTTCTCCAGATTATTATATAAGCCCCCTCCTTCTGTCTCAGATTACAGGGATCTGTAAGTCTATTTTATCTTTCATTTTGAGGGAAAATTTCACTGGATACAGAATTCTAGATTGGAGTTTTTTTTCTTTTTCTTTCTGACATTCTCAGTGTTTCACTCCATTCTCTTAGAAGCAGTCTGACATAATTTTTTATCCCCTGCCCCCACCATGAAGTTCTGAGGATTGAACTCAGGGTGCTCTACCACTTAGTCCTTTGTTTCATATTTTTTATTTTGAAACAGTGTCTTGCTGAGTTACCCAGGCTGGCCTCCAACTTGCAATCCTCCTACCTTAGCTTTCTGTGTAGCTGAGATTACAGGCTTATTGCCATCAATCTTGGCAGTTGGATATAATTCTTATTCTTATTTTTGTAGGTCAAGTGTTTTTCTGCTCTGTTCCTCAGCCTCTCCTCAATTTTATTTGTCTTTGGTTTTCTTTAATTTGATATGATATGGCTATGTGCGGCTGTTTTGGTGTTTATCATTCTTGATGTTCTCTGAGTTCCTAGATCTGTATCCTTCATTGATTTTTGGAAAATTCCCAGCCATTTTTACATTAAATATTTGTTGTGTTCCTTTCTCTTGTTGTTTTCCTTCTGATATTCAACTACACATATTAATGCTTTTTATAATTGCTGTGACTAAGGGGTTAGAAGCTAGAATTCCTGTAGTGTCTTTGTTTTTGTCTCCCCTATTATTTGGGTTTCCTTAGAAATTTCTTTTTAAATGGAATCTGAGTCTATATATCTTTTAATTTTAATCTCCTGATACAATAGAGCCTTTTGCTGTTGTGGTTAATTGTTGGAGGATCAGAAGTGTTTTATAATCTTATAACTGGGTCTCAAGTCTTTTTGGGGGTCTGTGTCCCTGGCTCTGACATTTACAAGTCTTTCAGTTTTTTCCCCCTTTAGATGAGATAAGAAG